AGTGATGCTTTGCAATTGCGAAGCAATGAAAACGCTGCAAAGCATCGCTTTGCAACTGCAAAGTGTCACTTCGTAATTTCAAAGCATCACTTTGTAATTGCAAAGCAAATGCTTCGTAGTTACAAAGGAGCAAAATACTTCGCAGGAATTTAACAGTGTCCGTTTTCTTGTTCCCCTCATTCTTCTGCATTTCAGCTTTACCAGAATGCTTTCTTGTGCAATGTGTCGACACTTCTTGACACTTTTCGACACAAGTTGCGTCGAGGAGTGGAGCGGAGAAGTGTCGAGTGAGCCGTGATTGGTCGCATCATCTAGACCCAGACCCTATAAAACTTTCTTGAGTCCGGCTTCACTTGGAGACGAAAGAATACAGGAAAAGCAAAGGTACCATGCGAAATAGTCGAAGCGGTACACAAAACAAAACTGCAAAATGTATATAAAGCGTGAATTTTTCTTTACACGTTCCCTAGACCCAGTTGGTCGATTTGACCCGCCGGTCACCAAAATCTGACCCATAGGAGCCGAGATTTTAACGCATTTGTTCAAAATTTAACCGAAATTGACGAAAATTTCAAAATTGTCGTACAGAGGCATTCCGGGACACTTGTCCGGATAATTTCTGGGAGAGAAAACGATTAAAACAACATTCAAGTACCTACGACCTCCCACTTAGGCCCTAACGCCGCCATTTTGGAAAATTAGGGCCTAAATCACAAATTATTAACGTTCGCTGCAGGGGCCCGTGTTAGGTGTCGTTTCCGCATGTTGTAGTATCTCTGACGCCGAATATGAGGTCAAATGGCTTGAAATACCACTAAGGGTCCATTTTAACATTGTTCAAAATTTAACCGAAAATGACGGAAATTTCAAAATTGTCGTAGAAACGCCATCTGGGACACTGTTCGAAGCAATTTCTGCGAGAGAAAACCAATGAAACAACATCCAAGTACGTACGACCTCCCACGTAGGCCCTAGACACCGCCGTTTTGGAAAATTAGGGCCTAAATCACAAATTCTTAACGTTCACTGCAGGGGCCCGTGTTAGGTGTCGTTTCCGCATGATATAGTGTCTCTGGCGCCGAATATGAGGTACAATGGACTGAAATACCACTAGGGTCCATTTTTACATTCGAACGGTCCGTATACTAAGGGTGCAAAAGGCCTAAATTGGTGTCATGTTAGATAATCCTACATCAGGGTATTTCCCCTTGTATACAAAATACGAGAAAGCTATCACTGAAAATGTCAGAGTCAGATATCTTTCTCTCAGTAGAGCGAGATCAGTTATCTACAAAAAATCTCGCTTTCCTGAGAGCGAGATATCTGACTCTCACTCAATTTGAGTCATAATTTGCGGTCCTCACTGCGATTGGGCGAGGTCAGGAAAATCTTACTCCTCCAGAGTGAGAATTTGGTGCTTATATGACTCAAATAGGGTGAACCTTACAGTCATCGCTCTGATTGAGCGAGGCAAAATTGTCTCACTCATTTCCAGCATGACACCACACTCATATCTTCACTGGAAAAACAAAGGTGCGAATCCCTACCTTTAAAAGGCACTAAATGTTACCTTTCACTCCTTTTGCTGGCTAGCTTCATATGAGTTCCATACAAGTTTAGTGCCTTTGGCAAGGCACGAAACTTTAACGACCCAAGAAAGGCACTAAACTGCGCCCTTGACTTTCGTGCCCCGGGGAAAGGTGTTGTTTAGTGCCTTTGTTTTACCAGTGTTTTCAGTGATTGAAATACCTTTTGCACATGTGTAGCTGTGCTCTGGCCGATAAACGTGAAAATCATTAACAGTTTAAAGGTCTATTTCACGGAAGTTACTAAGAACTCTCTCAGGTTCCGGAGACTTGCCGGTGGCAAATGGTGAGTTTGATAAAGAGGCATATAACTTCTTTTAAGGAATGTATTTCCTTGGCAAAGTTATTCCCCTAGCCTGGTTTTCCCGTTCCGGACTTTTCCCCCCTTCCAACTGAACGTTCATTTTTAACAGATATATCAACACACATTAAATCAATTATTTTTTTTACCTTTGCTGTTACCTTTGCTCGAACCTTGGACCTCTGGGTTGCTGCGCCGCAATCTTGACCACTAGGTTACGGTTAGCTCACGGTTAGAGGAGCGTCAGCAACCCATGTTGTTCCTCAGCTCAAGCAGCAGCGGACCTCGCTTGGCTTTGAAGTAACAAGTCCTGACTAATATCTATTGTCTATTATATTCCCCGTTTCTTATTATTATCAGCCACATGTCATCTTTTCAATACTAGAATCCAGAAAAATTACAAGTTTTTTTTCCCCCTCCGTTGGCATGCATTGGCCTTCTACTAGCCCACGGGTGGTAAATTAATCAAGCTGTCGGTGAGAATTCCGATGTGTGGGTGCGTGAATTTACAACTTGTGGGCAAATAGAGGAGAATGCCCATGCCCATGAGTCAGGAAATCAACTTTCCAAGACGGGCTGGCAAAGTTGCAAGTCCACTGGGCGGGTAAAATTCCACTTATTTTTAATAGTGGGCTTTTCTTATTTTCGAAGTTTTTCGCGCCAAACTGTCAATATAGTGCCGACTCTTAATTGTCATAATACAGCAGTTACAGTTAATAACGCGAATAAATTGTTATTCTTTTCATTCGCACACCCACGCAGAAAGGTCGTTGATCGCGTATTACGGGAAATTACTCAAATTTAGACCTTTTGCACCCATAGGTAAAGGGACCGTTCGAATGTAAATATGGACCCTTAGTGGTATTTCAGTCCATTTAACCTCATATTCGGCGTCAGAGACGCAATAACATACGGAAACGACACCCAACACGGGCCACTACAGTGAACGTTAAAAATTTGCGATTTAGGCCCTAATTTTCCAAAATGGCGGTGTCTAGGGCCTACGTGGGAGGTCGTACGTACTTGGATGTTGTTTCATTCGTTTTCTCTCGCAGAAATTACTACGAAAAGTGTCCCAGATGGCGTTTCTACGACAATTTTGAAATTTCCGTCATTTTCGGTTAAATTTTGAACAATGTTAAAATGGACCCTTAGTGGTATTTCAAGCCATTTGACCTCATATTCGGCGTCAGAGATACTACAACATGCGGAAACGACACCTAACACGGGCCCCTGCAGCGAACGTTAATAATTTGTGATTTAGGCCCTAATTTTCCAAAATGGCGGCGTTAGGGCCTAAGTGGGAGGTCGTAGGTACTTGAATGTTGTTTTAATCGTTTTCTCTCCCAGAAATTATCCGGACAAGTGTCCCGGAATGCCTCTGTACGACAATTTTGAAATTTTCGTCAATTTCGGTTAAATTTTGAACAAATGCGTTAAAATCTCGGCTCCTATGGGTCAGATTTTGGTGACCGGCGGGTCAAATCGACCAACTGGGTCTAGGGAACGTGTAAAAAAAAATTCACGCTTTATATACATTTTGCAGTATTGTTTTGGTATTCCAGGTCGAACCGCTTCGACTAAAAGATATGTCCATAAATGTACGATTGTAATTTACCATTGCTAGTCGATGCGTACACACTAAAAGCTAATGAACTTTTTTGTGCCTAGCTTATTAAAATCTGTAAACATACTCAGCCTACGCATTTTATAATACGCCAGTATGAACAAATTTCTTCATGCTGGCGCATTCATGAGTGCTTTTAGCTTAAGTTTACAGATTTCCGTAAGCCATTAATCAAAATGTTCAGAAGATTTTACTCTGTTGTGATTGTAGATTTACAATTTTAAATTGCAATTGCACATGATCTTCCATGTAAAATGTTCCTGTACCCAGTGCTATAATTTTTCACAGTTAGGACTCAATGCCTCTAAAGGGGTGTTAAACATTAATGCCTACATTTAAAAAAAAAAAGGATCGTCAACAGAACTATAGCCAAAGTCAACGTCAGAGGTTTAACTTCATGATGACTTACACGTCACATTACATGATACTTTTTTTAAATCAGTATATACTTTCTATAGTTGAGTTTAACCCCCATGACAATATTCTTACCTGAGCAGCCACTTGCAAACATGCTGGGATATATTTTATTAGGTAAATTAGTGGAAACTCAGAAATTAGACTGTTACAGAGGGAGCTAACTTTTAAACCGTACAAGTCCAGAGGATGGGCCAAAGTATTTAGAAATCAGAATGTCAAACTGAATCAGGAAAAAAATATTTCATTAAAATTGATTGCCAGGCCTTTCAAGTTAGATATTTTTTTTGTGTATATTTCACCGACCATATGAGCCATTTTTTTCTGATCATTTGACATTATTACATAAGAGAAAAAAAAATTACTTGGTCAAAATCAAAAATTGAGTGTCACGATTTTTGCCCTTACGCCATAGAACGTCCCACCCACGTAAGTTGCATGAGAGGGGGCTCTCGAGATTGACATCAAGTAAACTGTTAGGATGATGCTAAACACCATCCTCCATTCCTCCACATCCCACTATTAGATCTTTTCAAACAGAAATACATAAAATTTAGTTTAGACACCTTCTACATGTAACAAAATTCCTTTCTGGGCCTTAAAATAAAGTTTAAGGTGAACACTAAAAAATTAACAAGAAACTGTGTGTGCGCCTTTTCAGCTTTTTGACAAAATTACCAACCAAATTAGGTAATGTTAGTTGAAACCCATGTGGTAATAAACATAAATTAGTTTCTGTTCCTCTCCCTAACTACTAAAATCATAGAGCAAATGGTCCAAACGCAAACTTAAACATTTCAGTGAAGTAACAGCAATGAAAAATCATGACTTTCAAAAAAAAGGTAATGTTGTAATCATTGTAAAAATGTATAGTCTGCTGCTAACATTATCCTTTAATAATTTTAATTTCTGTGAAATGGACTTATTTTAGTGGCAGCATATCAAAAGTAAATCAATATATCGGTCTTTCAATTTTTGGAAAATAAAGGTGCAAGTTATTATGTCCTTTCTCCGTACTTCACTGTTATTCAATTCATGTGACATCACATTCTTTTACCTGTGACACCTGTCACATGCTTACGGATGTAACTCTTTCATAATGTTTCATGTTGAAACAAATGTGACATCACGATTAGAGGAATGTAACATGTTTTACATGATCAACAATGTGGCGTAACATTACTTGAATAACTGTCAACTGAAATGCTGAAGTTTGTGTTCTGACAATTTTCTTCATCACCTAAGTAGTTCAGTGAAACAACAGAAAATTTATGTTATTTTCACAGAGGTTTTGATTTATATTACGTAATTTGTTAGTAATTTAATTTTGGAAATTACCTATAAATAAGATTTTTCTGCAATACGGCATTTCACTTTCTTTTAATCAAAAATGCTCGTCACAGCTTTTTGATATTTTTTAATGGTTACTTCAAACCTGATTTCAAGAACTAGAGGGGAATTTCGTATCATGTGCAAGGTTTCTAAACCGATTTTTATAGATATTTCTGCTAAAAGCTCTGTAGCAGGATGTATTGTAAAGGAATCGAATGTGAGGTCATTGGGGTTTAACATAATCCTTACACGTAGTATACTTGATATCAATACCGAAAACCAACTCCCATGCAACTTCAGTAGATTTCTTGAAAGGAAGTTTTAAAAAATCAGTTGAAAATGGTTAGAAATGGCCTCCCAGTCAAACGGATTTTGTCAAAATTACATCATTTTGATGTCATTGTCAAGATTTGGTCATTTTCGTTTTACATCTTGATGTCATTTTGACATTAAATGAAATCAAATGATCTTAAAATGACATCAAGATGTAAAAAAAAATGACAAAATCTTGACAATGACATCAAAATGATGTAATTTTGACAAAATTCGTTTGACTGGGGCTATAAGGTACGTACGCCAGGGCTCCGCTAGACCGGAAGTAGAAGAACAAAAATCGTCGGGCGCAGGGAGAAGCGGGGTACTGGTTGTGCCCCCGCCCATCCCCGCTCCTCCCTGTGCCCGACGATTTTTGTTCGTCTCCTTCCGGTCTTAACGAGCTTTGGAGTACCCCATTCCAGTTTTTTCAAACATCACTGTAAAAACAAAACAAAAAAATGCAAGAAGAAAAGTATACAAAATTGGCCAAACTCGAGAGGGGTGGATACTTACATACTCCGTACGAGTACACCTGGAGACGCTCGTTAAGTGCCCCCTCTTTGTGGACTCGGACTCATGCGTAACAGGCTTCGCGGGGCAGTGGGTTTTCCCAGGCCACCCAGGCTAGTGAGGGAAAGGGGCGGGTGGACTATTGAGGGAAACCAGGAAACCACATACACCGATAATCTAAGTGCAACACGCTATTTCAGAGAACTCGGAAAGAAGAACAGCACGAAAAACAAAGTGGCCCGTGATTCGTCGAACAGTTTCCCCCTGACCGACGTTGTGCTGTTATTCTTTCCCAGTTCTCTGAAATGGCTTACTGCTCAAAACTTGTAAGTGTGCCAGTGCAAGTTGAATACTTGCAAGTGTGCAACTCATTGGTTGAGCACTTCTCACTGAGTTAAACACTTGCAAGGAATGAAAGAGTTCAGGAAGGACTGCTGTTCTCCTTAGGAACCGTCAAGTGATATGCCCTAATGCAGGTTTCCATTTATAACATGTCAAATAAATGAGGTAATAGGGTATTCCAATAGACTATTCCGCTGGACCCGCTAATCGCGATACTCTCGAAAAACAAATGCACCGGAAGTCATCTAAAACCGGCTCCAGAGGCCTTATTACACCATAATATTGTGCAAACTTCATAAATAAATTCCCAGGAGAAATAATTTGTCACTTTCGAACATATTTTAGGGCTCTATGGAGGCTTAATTTCGATTTGAAATAGCCGACTTCCGGTGCATTTGTTTTTCGAGAGGTACGAGCAGAGTGGTCTATGGAGCGCGGAGCGGAAGCAAGAAGAACAAAAACGGAACGTGGAAGGGCGCCCGCGCCGTCTCCCTCTCCTCTACTAGACGGAGTGGGGGAGCGCCCGGGGTGGAGTGGGGGGCAGGCGGGGAGGAGTGTGGGCGCCTTTCCACCTTCCGTTTTTGTTCTTCTTGCTTCCGCTTCGTGCTCCATTGGAATACCCTATTTACCTGACTGAGACTGGATCCAAAGAAGAAGAGCAGTTCTTCCCGAACCCTCTCCTCCTTGGCGCTGATTGGCCGACGCAGACGAACCTTCTCCGAACCGACACTAGCGATCGACCGCCCTTGCGGCCAGTTCGACAACTACGTCGACGTCCAGTCAATCAGTGCAGTGAAAAGGGTTCGGGAAGAACTGCTGTTCTTCTCTGGATCCGGTTTGTTTCAAGTGAAATACCATATCCTCCAGGCCTACATGCTAGAATCTTATGTTATTATTTGTTCATAGCTCACTGAAATCTGTAACCAAGATCAGTTTACGCATTTTATAGTACGCCAGTAATGTTTTCTGATTTTGCTTTGTTTATTATTTTCTTCTTGTCACCGAAACTGAAATGGTCTATTTCTGAATAGGGTACTACGGGGCTCGGCTATACCGAAAGGAGAAGAATATGAATCTCCGGGCGTGGGGAGGAGCGGGGCTGGGAGAGGGCAGTACCCCGCTCCTCTCCACGCTTATACGATTTCTGATCTTCTCTTACCCGGTGTAGCCAAGCCCCGCAGTATTAAGATTTGTGTGAAACTTTGTGTGAAACGATACTGAAACAACACTTAATTATGAGGTATTCTGTAAAGAACGGGACTGGTGTGAGGTCGGGCCGACCGGTCCGCTGACTTTTGCAAGTAAATGTGGGAGAACCACTTCACTCACCGGGAAATCACGTCACAGACGGTGAGGTTGCACTACAACGAAGGTCCATTGTAAGTTTTCTTGATCTGAGATCTGGATAACTTACAATCACAATTTCTTTCCAAATGGAGCTGAGCCGGGCGGCTCACCCGAGCTGAGCTTCGGCCGCTTGCCGCTCGACTGGCGCTATAGTCGCGCTCGGTTCGGCTGGGCCGCCCGCTCAGCTCCGCTTGGAAAGAAATTGTTTTTGTGAGTGATCCAAGCATCGGATCAAGCAAGACGCCACAAACGACCCTCGTTATAGTGCCACCTTTTCAAATATTTTTGTGTTTTTCCGAAACGTGAACTGGTTCTCCCACATTAACTTGCAAAAGTCAGCGGTCCAGTCGGCCTGACCCGGTCTGACCTCACACCAGTCCGTTCTTTTAAAAATACTTCATAATTACGCATGAGCGAGTCACTTGGTATGAAGAAGAAAAGAAAAAGATGGCGGCGACCCAAAACAAAGCGACATAACCTGGTTGCGAAACCCTTCCAAATAGAGTTTTTGGAGCTGATATCGGGTATATTTCTGTTGATTGTACGACAAAAGAGATTAAAAACTAATTTGAAATACACAACTTTGAATATAAACGCAATTCCACGATGCAGCTTTGCTTTGTTTTGGGTCCGCGCTACGCTACGCCACCATCTTCTCTTTTTCTTCATACCAAGTGACTCGCTCATTGACTCAAAGTTTCGCACAAATCTGAATATTCGCCTCGCGCAACGCGCGCGCTGGCCGGTAGGGCGGCGGGTGGCGGACAGAGCATCGCTTCAGCCGCTCGCCTGGCCTTGCGGCTCCCTGCCTATACTGGCATATTAAAAAAAAATCTTTGTTGTAATACAGCCTTCTTTGTTTTACAGATACGATTCTCTGGGTGTGGTTCCGGAATGATCACGTCTGTGAGGAAATCTAACAATAGTGTATTTCGACTAACGGAGGAAGAAGGGCGGGTAGAACATAAGGGTTCCTGATAGGTCGAGAGCCTCTCGCCTCTACGTCACGCCGGTAGTGGGGGTTAGCGCTCGGCCAATCAGGAACCTTTATGTCCTAACCGCCATTCTTCTTCCTCCGGTAGTCGAAATTACACTATAGACTACCTGTCCCGTGCATATCAGAAGAACAAAAGCTGCGGAAGTGCCCTTATTTTTATCCACAAGCAAAGTAGATTTCTTCTGGATGCTAACGCTTTGAGGTATATTCCGACGGAATATAACTAGAAATGTCAACTTTCCTTGAAAATTCGCCATGTAAAGTAAAAGTTTTAATGTCACTTCTGGAGTTTTTGGTCTTCTAATACGCACGGGGCAGGTACTGTATTCAAACGTCATGATTTAACAGATCTTTAACAAATCAACATTGTTTTATTGCTGATGTTTTTACTAATAAATATATTATTTTTTTTTGAAATGTCTTTTTGGTTTGTGTCTGCAGGCTTCCGAGTACGCACATTTCAGCGGGAATCGAGTTGCATGGAAAGCTGAGCAAGTTCTGCAAGAGGACTAACTCGCCTCCATACTTCAAGACGCGGAAATTATGCCACACACTGTAAAAATACTCAACTGCATTGGTTGAGCTGCTCCCAGAGCTCCCCCCTGTCCAGCAGGTAGCACTCTTTCAAGGCGCTGTGCTAGACCCTCATCAGTATTACTCGTGATGTGAACAAACATAAACCTGCCGTGAATTTTTGCATCACCCGCGAAGATCTTTCCCAAGCGGTGGGCCAGGTACATACCCAACTCCATCAGATCCGTAGACAATTCCTTGATTGCCTCGATCATTTGGAGCAATTCTGAGTTGCTTTTGGCTGCTTCCAGAGCATCTACGGAGCTGCACACTTTCAAGTATTTAACTTGCATTTGCACACTTGCAAGTGTTAAGCAGTTTTCTGCTAATCTCAATCTGTAGTAGGTTGCCAGTGTAAACTGCAGAACTAAACGTTTGCCAGTTGTAACTGCAGAACTCTTCTTTAGTTCGCTAATTCTAACTGCTGAACTCTTAAGATTTGCACCAACAACTGGGAAAGTGTTCTTCAAGTAGAACTGTAGAACGAAAAAGTTATGCATTTAGAACTGGTGTGCTAAAGAGCTATGCAGTTACAACCAGCAAACTTTTAGTTCTGCAGTTTACACTGGCAAACTACTACACACTCGGTTTAGCAGTGTCATTTCCCCCTTCGCACACGTTATGATAAGAGCACTCATCAAATACCGGTCTACATTTACAGCGGGACGAATAAATAGGGTATTTCTCCTAACTGAAACCGGTTCAGCAGTTTATCCCTTGCCTCCTTCGCACTGATTCGCCAGTTCTAACTACAGAACTCGTTTGTTGTGCAGCAGAACTCGTTTATTCTTCAGTTCTAACTGCAGAACTCCTTTGTTCTTCAGTTCTAACTGCAGAACTCGTTTGTTCTGCAGTTCTAACTGCAGAACTCGTTTGTTCTGCAGTTCTAACTGCAGAACTCGTTTGTTCTGCAGTTCTAACTGCAGGACTCGTTTGTTCTGCAGTTCTAACTGCAGAACAGTTTTCTAGTTGCTGGTATAGATCTAAAGAGTTCTGCACTTGCAACTGGCAAACTTTGAGGGCTAGAAATTGGATAAATAGTATGAAGTATGAAGAAAGGTACTGAAAAATGGACATGTTTTAAACGAGGGGTCGTCAGCTTCGATATTCCTCCGTACACGGACTGATATTACCTCAAATAGTACACCAATATTAGCCATATTACTGGTAATATTACCTCGATATTACACATTTTTCTAGCATTATGACGGCACAGCTTGAAAATTGGCTCAATATCACTAATATTATTTGTAATATTCAATTTTCCCCCGTACGAGGCCAAGGAGAGTTGACGACCCCTCGGTTTTAAATGATCAACCCGTTATGGACGTGGGACAATGTAGACGTCTAGAAGCGGTGTTTTGCATGTAAAAAAGCAGATGATACCAATTTAAGAGTAAGCTTTGTTCTACCTTTCTCCCATATTTTTACAAAATAATTTATATGGTTTAAGAGAAACATTACGGACCACTGTAGTAAAAAGAATTGTGACCGCGCTGTATCGTCTATCACCATATTATTCGTTTTACGGTTTGTTTACAATCCGGCGTCCTCCCTGTGTTTAGTTTAAAAGCGGGGGCTCCAGCGGAGGGAGCGGGTGGGGAGGGGGGTTGGCGCGGCCCGCTCGGCTCGGGCGTGCGGCGACGGAAATCGAGCCTCAGCCTCAGCCTCAGCCTCACTATCCCCCCTAGCACAATATTTAAGATAGCTGGCCCTGCTCTCGCTTCTCTGTCCTTACCGAGAGTAAAAGCAATGACACCTTACTTAATTATTCTTATGTTTACTTATGTTTAGTCTCAGTTAAGTAAGATTTGTAAGGTATCATCTGCTAAAAACGTGCCCCGTGTTGCGTTTCCCTGCCTACCTGGTGCAGCCGCATGTCTTTCCTGTCAAAGACCACACCCTACTATGTCTTGTGTGTGGTCACACTCCTTTCTCTCCTCAACAAATTTTGATTGCTGGGTGTGCTTAACATCTCACTCCTAGTAATGTTGCTGCCTTTAACCGGTTTCAGTAATAAATATATACACTCTCAGCCCGTTACTGACACTTTGCAAATACACAATGAACTTGCTTGTACAGCAGTTATACTCACAAAATTGCACGTAATACTCACAAATTTAGTTAGTAATACTAATTAATTTGTGAGGAATTACTTAGGAAGATGATGCTTAGTACTTGCTAACAAAATAATTAGTAGTAGTAACTAAATTTGTGAGTATTACGTGCAATTTTGTGAGTATTACTGCTGTACAAGCAAGTTCATTGTGTATTTGCAAAGTGTCAGTAACGGGCTGAGAGTGTAGAAAGGCGGAAAAGTTGAGCAAAAACTACCTAACGTAAACTTTTATTTTAGAAAGTATTTGGGCCACAAGATTGCCGTACAAGTGCGAAAAACCTCTGTCTAATGGTGTGACATAAGAATTGATCAACTTTATAGTTTTAAACTTGCAGACTTAAAACTATTAAAAATTGGAACTTGAAGTGAATCTTGATTTGGGTGGGATGTCATGATGTACTTGTACTTAATTTTGTCACTTGTCTTGATTTGAGCAGCGCAAGTGTGGTTTTCAGGATACTTTAGAGTCTAGTTACAGTAGACTCTGAAAAAGCATACTCCCTTCTTGGTACATTGTTTGCAGTTCATTTGAATTTTATATGAGTCCGTACATTTTGTTATGGCCTCTTCTGCTCTAATTTCTGCTGCTTTTCTCTTAGCTGTTAAATAATCCTACATTTCTCTATGTCTTCAAAAAAAACTTAAATAACCTTCGGAAAGAATATATTTGTTGAAAAATGTAAGGACGGTCGTAATATAATTTGTTTTAACTTACTTTTATAATGTTGGCTACGAAGCTGTGTCTGTTCTGAATAAGGCTACAAAGCTTTTCTTGGTACCCTGCTATTCATGATATCTGTCATCTTGTTTACTTGCCTGCAGAATTTAACGCTGATGTCAGAATATTATAGTTTCAATTTTTCTAACTTTTTGAATGCAAGCATACCTGCTGCAGCCGATTCACTCCATAACTTGCAGAGTGCAAATAAATTTTAAAATAATTATGCACGACTGACTCAATCAAGCACCTGCAAAGCGGTCATGCTTTGGGCACCATCTCCTCATAAGGTGTTATATCGTATTTTTGGCAGAACGCTCGCATGCACCTGTCACAGAAGGCATTGTGTTGGCACGGCAGCAGCCTCCGTATTGGCTTCATCTCCTTAAGGGCCACAGCTTTCGGGTACTCGTAGTCGTGGCCGCACTTCCCGAGCCGTCGAAGTCCCGTCCTGGCCGTGTTCTTCATCCGGTTTCGTCACGGTTCCTTGATTATCTTTATGATACTGAAGGTCCCCTCCAGCAGTAGACCAGGGCAAGACGAGCAGCAGCGTCGTGAAGTCAGCCAGGACAGAGTAGAGGCGCTCACCCGCCACGTCCACGTAAGACTTCATCTCCGTCCAAAATTTTCCGGTGTGTTTTTTTCCTTCCAATCCGCCGATTTCAGGTTCTCCCACTGAAACTCAACTATCACCATCAAATCTGGGGGGGAAGTGAAGCACTTTCGCAAGATCAGAGAGGCAATTTGGTAGTCCAGCCTCCTTAAGGCACCACCGTGGCCACATAACACTCTCTTGCAAAATTTTCATCTGCGACGGTGGTCCTGCAGCTATGTAAACTCATAACACTGTTCATAGATTTTCTGCCCAGCCTCCTCTGTCACTAGATTTTCTGGGCGAAGCTTGAACAAAATGTCTCTAGAAGGTGAGGGTTATTACACTTAAATTGGAGCAGGACCGTTGAATTACTTAAACTAATTACAAAACACTTGTTGTTGAAGGCCCTTAGGGTGGGAGCATTGCGACTTTTATTCTGATTCAATAATAAGTTAGTACTGTGCGCACCCACCCGTACAAACTAATAAATGAACTGATTTTGACTTTAGACTATTTTTGGTAAGTTGAAACGGACTAGTTGAATGAATTAATGAAATGAAGTAAAATGAATAAATGTACTGACCGGGACGAAACCTATTTGCGCATTGTGCGTTCCGCGAAGTACGCCCGCCGTTCCCAACGGGGCCGCCTTACCCGATGTCCGCCTTGGTCCGCCCTGGTGGCATACGGGTGGCCGCGGATGTCAGGTTGCCACCGGGACTCCGCGCCTTGACGCAGCTTGTAGGCCGCGTCGAACCCGTGGAAAACGAAGGCCCGGATGGTGCTCACCGCGCGCTGGAGGTGAGCCTGGTGCGACACCGTGTCGCCCGCGCCGTGGGCGGCGCCCATGGCCCGCACCACCCCAAACAGGTCCCGTGCTGCCCGGGTGACGATAGGGTTGGAGGAGCACAGCAGCACCACCTCGTCGAAGACCTGGGGTGGCGCAGGTGGGGCGGCATGGTGTGGTGGCGGGGCTGCGGCGACGTACGGCGCCGGCGTCGTGAGTGACCGCTGCTCCGTGAGGTGGGGCGGTGGCGCGGCATACAGCCCCTCGGCCGCCTGGTCGAGAGTGATGTTGACCGGGCCGAGTGGGATGTACCCCGCCGGAACGTTCAGGCCATGACGGCCAGGATAAAGGATGACACGCTCTATTGCTTGTGTACACCCTCTCCGCCTGGAACTTTCCCAAGCTACAAAAAATATTTTTTTAGAGTACTTAAATCTTTGAAGAGTGTAGCAAAGCGGAAAAAGTTGAGAAAGTTTTTGTTGAAACGTACCTTCGCCCAGAACACGTCCACCTCTGTTTCTTGGAGAAGATCCGGCGTCAGAGTGCTGTCCATAGGAAGATCCCGCCAGTCGTCGTCGTTCTTCCTCAGGACATCGCGGTCCGTGGGCGCCGCGCGCGGCACGAGCCGGATCAGGTCCGCCAGGCTGTCGGCCAGCTGGAGACTCCCCGGCTCGCAGGCTGTCCGAGGCACTAGGGCGGTAAGTGCGGTAAGCAGGGGGCATTAAAATCGAATCTCCTCTGCATCAATCTCTTTGCAGAGGTCGATTAAGAATTTTCTGCAAGTCAGCCTGAAACCTTCGATTGGCGACCCCTCGCTGCGGGCCCGGGCTTCCCCGTCAAGCCTGAGTGCGGCCTCGGCCTGCAGTCCCGTGTTCACAGGCGCGCCAAGGTAAAGGGCGGAGCCAGTCCCTGGCGCCAACGGCTTCAATGCGTCCGCATTTTCAGGGCGGATCTGACTGCATTTAAAATAAAGATAAGATTTTCCGTGTCAACAATACCACATAGTACAAGCTCATGAATGGGTCTTTCAGGCACTTGGCACTTGTGTATGACTTCCGCAATGTGTGTCGTGTCCTCACGCGTGGTTGCCCATGAACAAACACAGGGGCTCCCACTGCTCGAGAATGCGGTCAACATTCGCGCTCAGCCAGAGCCACCTGGTAAGCGCCAAGCGCAACATGGTATGATACCGTGAATTAGCCGTATTGAGGAATGCCTGGAATTCCTCAAACTGAGCAACCCTTTTGTCGCTGTGGTTGAATTGACTGTGCAGGTTGCGTGCCAGATTCTCACAGCCGTGCGGAAATTTTTTGCACGCTGATTTAGCAGCTAAGAGCAATGAGTGACAAATGCACTTCATCAACACA